GTGTGTGGGTGGGAGGGACAGGCAGAGGGAGGCAAGGTTAAGGGGTAGAGAGAGATAATGAAGCAACAAGGTGCATGCTTGAGCTCCTCACTCCCCTCCGCTCCTCTGTCCGCCCTCCTCTGTCCCTCTCCTGTGTGTGGGTGGGAGGGACAGGCAGAGGGAGGCAAGGATAAGGGGCAGAGAGAGAAAATGAGGCAACAAGGTGCATGCTTGAGCTCCTCACTCCCCTTCGCTCCTCTGTCCGCCCTCCTCTATCCCTCTCCTGTGTGTGGGTGGGAGGGACAGGCAGAGGGAGGCAAGGATAAGGGGCAAAGAGAGAAAATGAAGCAACAAGGTGCATGCTTGAGCTCCACACAACCCTCCTCTCCCATCTCCGCACGCCTCTAACCATCTCATGGCAGTGTGTGAGAGGGCCGGGCAGTGTGAGTCAGTGAACTGTTGGAATATGTTTTGTGCAGCGAAGATAGCATTTAAAGACGTGGCAAAAAGAAGCATTTGTACTACTCATTCTCCCTCTCACCTGGGCCTCATGCCACCAGGTCGCTGTCTCCGGTGTGGTGTAGCGTCTCTGACGGGTCTTCGGGTCAGTGTCTACCCGTGGCTTCAGAACGAACCCAGGCGCATTCCGCGGATCGCCAAACAGGTCGGCCAGAGCCTGGACGAGACAATCACGACGCGATTATGATGAGCTAAAAATAATACGTGCAGCGAAATAAAGGTCGTATCAACAAACTGCATAGGAAATAACTCACACAGCACGTACCTGTAATGAGTTACGGAAGAACGGCGTCTGCGCCGGGAAGCCCGCAACCTTGAATGTTACAGTCGAGTACCCACGGCCTAGACCACGCAGTTGGTCCAACTCGAAGCGCTCGAGCTCTCGGCAGTTGGTGTACTCCTCGAGCACTCTCTGTGCAAGTTCCGGAACCATTAGAAGTTGCAGCAGTGCGTTGATGTCCGTCTCTGCCAAACCAAGCCGTCCGTTTGCTTTCCGCACAAAGTGCAGAAAATGAAGCGCAGCGGGATTGCTCGGTGGTGGACGCCCGAAGCTTGTTGGTACGGAGGGAGCAGCGGTATTTCTGCCGCTGTTGTTACTCTGAGGCGAATTCGCTGTGTCCGCGTCGGTGACTGCCTCGGGCATTTCATTTCCGGGTGTAGAATATGAGGAATTGCTGCCGGAATGCTCACCGTCTTCCTGTGACTGTACGTTGTCGCCATGTACGTGATGGGCCGGAACATGGGCCGTATTCTCAGCATCGGGAACAGGTGTTGTGAAAAGGACAATGTGCTCTTGTAGTGAAGGTCCACCCTGACGCAGTGCTGCATATTTGACACGGCATACAGGGTCCCATGCCTTGTGCCGCCCGAAACACTAGGCACTTCGAAATCTCCCCTTGCAAAAGACGCACAGTAACTGTTTGTTGATGTTCATGCTATGACCAGCTGTAATATGAAGAGTCCCAAGAGTGGCCGCATTGTACAAGTGCTCTTTAGTAGCGGCTAGGCCTGAGAGGTCGACCTGTGAAGGGCGTGAAAGGTGACTCCCTATAGGGGTATCGCGGCAGCGACCAGAGGACCGGGTTCCTATGAGACACACCTCGAAGTAAGTTCTACATGTTGATGCTACACAGAGGACTGTGACTAAACTTAGACATACGAGTGTTGAGTGGGAAGTATAACTACTCCGCATTCTGTCTAGCCTATGGCCCTGCATATGATCATGATTTACTCGCCGCGCACTGCACCGTGATGTAGGGGTGAATTGGCGCGCAGCGCGGCCCCGCCGCGAGCCAAGGTGCTACCTACACTCGCAATACGTGCTGCACGAGGCGTTTTAACGTGGTGGGTAATGGCAGGCACAGTATTGAGCCGCGTGCGGCTGCTGTGACGGATGGGCTCATGGAAGGACAGCGGGAAGGGGACGATGTTCCATACCACCCTTAGAGCTTAGAGAATGGCGGACCTTGCGCTTGTCTATCCCCCCAGAGGTTCTGGTGAGAATTCCTCCGCAGTCTAGAGAAAACCGAGCAAAAGTTAGAAGAAGCTAAATCGCCAAATGAGACTGTCAGGCTCAAGCCTCACCCTAAAGCAAGAGACTTGTGCGTGATTATCACGTCAGGCAGCGGAAGGCGCACTTCGCTGTGATTGTAAGGCGAAGCGACTCGGGAAGGATCACCGCACGGAGTAAGCGTGCTCTGGCCGACTCTGTTTGCTGTGTGGTGCGGCTATTTGAATTCTGAATTCGAAGTTTGAAATGACGGGAGGGGATGTGTGCACTGCCCACACGAGCAACTCGCGGTTCGCGATATTGGCGAAATTGTTATACTATTGCTGACATTACTGAAACAATCAAATCTAAAATATCAGAATCAAAAACTAAGGGCCCTAGGAATCAGAGCATAATCTCTAGGAAACTGGTGTCAAGAAACAACCCAATCACTAGCAGAGCTTTCTGACGAGGTTCGGTTTGTGGCGAGGATTGAAATCCAATACCCGGCAACTCTACATCAGATTCAAGCTACTCTCACATAGCACGGCATGATAAACATATCTAGCCTTCATGGACAGAGCTGAGAATGATAGGGGGGTCTCAAAATGGTGTCAAGAGACTACCCTACCACTTGCTGAGCTTTCTGACAAGGTTTGGTGGGTGGCGAGGACTGAAATCCAATACCCGGCAAATCTGCATCAGATTTGGGCTTCCCTTACATATCATGGCATGATGAACCTATCTAGCCTTCATGGACTGAGCTGAGAATTATAGGGGGGTCTCAAACTGGTGTCAAGAGACTACCCTATCACTTGCAGAGCTTTCTGGCAAGGTTTGGTTGGTGGCGAGGACTGAAATCCAATACCCGGCAACTCTGCATCAGATTTGGGCTTCCCCTTACATATCATGGCATGATGAACCTATCTAGCCTTCATGGACTGGGCTGAGAATGATAGGGGGGTCTCAAACTGGTGTCAAGAGACTACCCTACCACTTGCTGAACTTTCTGACAAGGTTTGGTTGGTGGCGAGGACTGAAATCCAATACCCGGCAAATCTGCATCAGATTTGGGCTTCCCTTACATATCATGGTATTATGAACCTATCTAGCCTTCATGGACTGAGCTGAGAATTATAGGGGGGTCTCAAACTGGTGTCAAGAGACTACCCTATCACTTGCAGAGCTTTCTGACAAGGTTTGGTGGGTGGCGAGGACTGAAATCCAATACCCGGCAACTCTGCATCAGATTTGGGCTTCCCTTACATATCATGGCATGATGAACCTATCTAGCCTTCATGGACAGGGCTGAGAATGATAGGGGGGTCTCAAACTGGTGTCAGGGTGGCAGACAAGGTTTGGTTTGTGGTCAGCACATGGCAATGGTGGTCAGAGTATGAGTTGTTAAGTGTTAGGTTCTTCATTGGTATTGCTCGATATGTTGATTTTGGTAAATTACAGCCAAGAAACAACCCTGATGCGGAACTGTAGAGGAGTTGTAGAGGAACGGGTAGAGCCATTCAGATGAAGTTTTGGACTATAATCCTACGATATATGAGCGTTATGAGATATCGATGTAGGTGTTCATTTGGAGACACAGACCAACCATAGTTTGGTTTCAAGCACTATTTTCAGCCCTAGTACGCTAGAGGTTACCTAAATTTATCATAATACTTATAATTTACCACTCAACAAAAGCCCCAACAATTTAACCAATAATGTGGCTTCCAATATGACATGTCTGTGAGACTAGTTATTTGTGTAAGCATACAAAATTGAGCATTTTCACTGTTCTGGGTGTTATTGACATCATGAATGGTTTTAACTTGGGCCTTTCTTTTTTTGGCGGTTTCACATGTGAAACTGCGTTGCAAGTGGGGGCATGTTACACAACAGTTTCAAGCTACAGTGCGATTTTCACGAACCGCCTTTCATAATGCTGACTCATATCTACTGTTTCGTTTCTTGTGAGGGTGTGGCCGTGCAGCGTTGTGCGCCAGAGCCATCAAGGAATCTCTTCAAGTTGTCCTGCTATCGCTTCGTTTGCAACAGTGTTATTGTTGCTTGCACAACCATGTGTTTTGTTTCAGCAACTTTGAACTTTGTGGGTGTGTTACAATTGTAAACCCTAAAAGTACTGAATGTCTGAAAACAGAGCATCTTGTTACGTTCCTCAGTGATTCAAACTGGCGCTGATGTTTGAGCGTTGGTCCCAAACCCTGGCGTGGAAGAATTGTTGCGTGAATGTTAGATGCTTACGAGTTACGAGCCTGAAACAAAAAATATCTCAATCATCTGCAGCCCGAAATTGTCCTGATCGCCTTCCATAGTCGTTGGTCTCTTTCCGACTTGGCAAAGGTGCAGGTACTGTTCAGCACAGCGTTATGCACCTCACATCACTTCACCACACCACAACCCATCGCACCTAGAATGACCTCTCCTAAACCCACGGCAAGACACCGACTTTTCGTCACACAACGCCAGCTCCCGTTTTGTGGCCACCAGCTTGAAATACTGTACGTACAGTATTCATGCCCATTCAAATCCAACACCCCTTCCCCTCTACCCTACCCCCCTGCTCGTTCCCGCACCTCGCCTGCTCATCCCCGCTCCCTGACCTCTTCGTCCCCGCACCCTTGCCTGCTCCTCCCCGCTCACTCACCTCCTCGTCCCCGCACCCTCGCCTGCTCCTCCCCGCTCCCTCACCTCCTCGTCCCCGCACCCTCACCTGCTCATCCCCACTCCCTCTGCATGCTCGTCCCTGTTCTGACCCCAAAACTTACACAGTAATTTAAGCCTCTCTCACGCTTAGTGCGCGAGCTCCTAACCTTCACATTTCCTACCCTGCCTGCTTCATACGCGTTCCAATTTTTGGCCGTCAAATATCGGTGTCTGGAAGGGTGCACAGTAAATTGTGAAGTCTGTTAGACGGCTTTGCTACATACTATGCTTAATTAGGAACGTTAAACGAGATACACGGTATAATCGAAGAAGAGAGACTCACACGGGTACAATGAACGGGTTTGTGGCGGAGCATGGGGTGGGAGGTCATGAAGGGGAAGGAGCAGCCTACCCAGGAGAACCGACAGGGGAAGGGAGAGGCTACGCGCAAGGGGAAGGGGGAGGATACGCGACAGGGGAAGGGGGAGGATACACGACGGGGGAAGGGGGAGGATACGCGACGGGGGAAGGGGGTGGATACGCGACAGGGGAAGGGGGAGGATACGTGACAGGGGAAGGGGGAGGATACGCGACAGGGGAAGGGGGAGGATACGCGACGGGTGCAAGGGGGGGATACGCGCAAGGGGAAGGAGGCGGATATGCGACAGGGGAAGGGGGAGGATACGCGACGGGTGCAGGGGGAGAATACGCGACAGTGCAAGGGGAAGGATACGAGCAAGGGGAAGGGGGGGGAAACGAGACAGGGGTAGGGGGAGGATACGCGACCGGCGCAGGAGGAGAATACGAGACAAGGGAAGGGGATGGGTACAAGGGCGAGGAAGGAGGCGAGGACGGGGGAGAGGAAGGGGGAGAAGACGAGGGAGAGGAATGGGGGGAAGAAGAGGGTGAGGAATGGGGAGAAGACGGGACATGGGAACAAGGTGCATACGCGTCGGGGGAAGGGGGAGTACACGCGACAGTGCAAGGGGGAGGATACGTGACAGAGGAAGGGGGAGGATACGGGACAGTGCGAGGCGGTGAAGACGAGGGAGACGAATGGGGAGAAGGCGGGACAGGGGAACAAGGTGCATACGCGGCAGGGGAAGGGGGAGTACACGCGACAGTGCAAGGGGGAGGATACGAGGGAGAGGAAGGGGGAGAAAATGGGACAGGGGAAGGGGGAGGATACGCGGCAGGGGAAGGGGGCAGATACGTCGTAAGGGGGGGGAAAGTCTATGAGGAACAGGAAGGGGGGGAGTTTGCGGCGCAGAGTGAGGGAGGATACGAGGCAGAGGAGGGGGGGAGAGTCATGGCCGAAGGCGGGGAAGACGGTCGGGCGAGAGATCCTGCCGAAGGCGATGGTGCGCTGAATGCAGCGGTGCGACAGGAGGCACATGAAGGCGGGGAGGACGACGCTGAGGATGATGATGTTGAACGTATGCTGTACCCTGTCAGGCCGGTTGCGGAAGCAAGCCGTGGCTCCACGATGGATGAAAGTGCGGAGGAGGCAGCCGCGATCATGCGGGGCAAGGCCAAGTGCATGGCGACCCTAAACATGGATGAGGGCGTACGGAATGACGTGCCGTGCAATGTCAAGAAGGCTGCAAGGAAACGTGGGCGCGATGAAGCAGTTATTGAGCAATTGGCGCCTGGAGACGGGCGCGGCAAAGCACGGGGCAGAGGGCGGGGAGAAGGGCGAGGTGGGCGAGCAGGGCGGGGCGGAGGGAGAGGAGGGCGAGGCAGAGGACAGGATGATGGAGAGGGGGAAGGGCGTGGAGGGCGAGGCGGCGGCCGAGCAGGGCGGGGCAGAGGGAGAGGAGGGCGAGGCAGAGGACAGGATGAACAAGAGGGAGAAGGGAGTGGAGGGCGGGGCGTCGGGCGTGGAGGGCGCGGCGGAAATCGTGGAGCGGGTCAACTTGGCCGCGGGGCTGGAGGTAGAGGAAGGGGCGAAGGAATGGGACGAGGAAGAGGAAGGGGTGCCACAGGTAGGAGTGACGTCAGTCCCTCTCTCTACCATCTTTCCGCCCTTGCCTCCATGCCATTGACAGGAGATGCACGGAGGAGGAGGGAGGGAGAGGCGGGGGTGTGCATGGTCCTCTCAGCTCCTTTCCTATTGGGTTATTTTCAGCCCCGCTGTTCTCACCCAGCCCGCTCTCTGCCATCTTTCCACCCTTGCCTCCCTGCCATTGACAGGAGATGCACGGAGGAGGAGGGAGGGAGAGGCGGGGGTGAAATCGATATGCCTTCGTAATGTCCAACTCACACTTGCACAAAGTCGTTGTATATGTGTCATCGCTGGGTGGGGTGTTGGTTATGACCCTGGCAGGTCCTATCGCGAACACTGGGATTGGGCCACCCATGGCGATTTGTCGCTTCGAACTTACTCCACAGGTACACTCGCGACCTGCCTTTCAGATGCTGCAGCCACAACATGCGCCAGCTGTAGCCAATGCTTGACCGACCGTGGGCAGATCTGGGGGACAGGGGCAAGTACCTACAGCCGCACCGTGCAACTCGGGCTGGCAAAACGCTGGAGAGACGGGGACTGCACCAGCTCCGCTACTGGCACATTCGTTAAACTCTGGCCGGTTGGGCGGTGCATCTGGTGCTTACAGCCAGGGCCAGAACCGTGTGAACCCGGGTGCTGCCAGCGCATCACGTCCTGCAAGCTCGAGCCCAGCCCATATCAACGGTTTCCCGGCTGCTTCCCAGCGAGCAGCCATCCCGAATGCCAGTGGTGCTAGTTCCGGCGCAGCAGCTTCACACAAATCAGCATCTTTTGGGGGGCAGCCTCCCCCTAGCATGATGCCTGGTGGAGGGGTCCACGTGCCTATAGCTGATGCGCACACTCCCCACCTTGGTTCCCCTGCCTCAGTAGGTCATGTACCGGGCGGCTCCTCAAGAAACCCCCCTGGGAGTGGAAATCTCGCGAGGCCAGGTGTCTCCTCTGGACACGGCTATGGTTCTTGTGGGGGCATGCATCAACCCACCCCCTCCCCAGGTCATGCGGCTGCTTATTCAGGCCATTCCAACCATGAGTTGGGCGCCATCCCCAATGGAATAGGGGGGCGTATCAGCGGCGGTGCACGCGCAGCAGCATCAGCACCAGCGTCTCCCGCGAGTATGGGACGTGCTCCAGTGGCCCATGGACCGTCCGTCTCGCATCCGCTGAACCAGTCGGCCTCGGCCGGTAGTCGGAGGCCATTGGCTGCACCGAGGCCAGGACTCGGCATCCCCCTTAACCCGGGCCCTCGCCCAGTCGCATCGGTGGCAGAGCAAGCTGCGATGAATAAGTATGCAACGAAGGGGGATTTGGCTGCACTGCGAACGGAGTTTCTACAAGCTTTACAAGCTCACACTTGCCAGTGTGGAGCATCTGGAAGCCTGGGTGCTGCAGCAGATGGAGGCGAGAACAATGGAGGTGGTGCGGGGGTTCAATATAAACCAAAACCTCGCACGAGATCTGTGGTGGCCATTGCGTTGGATGCGGTGTTGGCCGAGCAAAATGATTGGCGAGTAAGTTCAAACGCTTCCATCCTGTTATATTGCGTGTGTATCGATGCGTAATACATCATTCCATCGTACACTATGAACAACTTACCTGCCTTCATCCGTTCTTGTCCCGATACACAATACTTTCGTGTCATGGCAGGGGGCGTGCAGTCAAGTGGTGACTTGCCTCTTCTGGACCGACGATGCAATGGAGATTCAGTTTTACCCCAACACCGACGAGGCGCTTGGAGAATTCGCGAAATTACTATCCCCTGATGCTATGACCCATCTAAAGCTTCTTTGGAACCTAACCGACGAATTCATCGTGGGGACTTTCAACAAGATGTGCAACACCAACAGAAGCAACGTCGCGAAGAAGCTACGAGCTGTTGTTTGGACAGCCCTGGGGAGCGTAAAGAAGCAACACAAGGTGGCAGCGCTTCCCAAGGGAGTAAAAAGCCCTGAGGCCTTCTATGAACACAAGGAACTCGCCCAAAATTACATGGACGGTACGTCGCATGGTGAGGGAGAGGGTGAGGTGTGCGTGGGCCCGTAGCTACTCTCGTCCCTTCCTCTCTCTCTGTCCTTATCTCCCCACCATTGGCAGGACACGCACAGAGGAGGAGGGAGGGAGAGGGTGAGGAATTTCCTTACCCGTAGCTACTCTCATCCCTTCCTATCTCTCTGTCCTTATCTCCCCGCCATTGGCAGGACACGCACAGAGGAGGGAGGGAGAGGGTGAGGTGTGGGTGGGCCCGTAGCTACTCTCGTCCCTTCCTCTCTCTCTGTCCTTATCTCCCTGCCATTGGCAGGACACGCACAGAGGAGGAGGGAGGGAGAGGGTGAGGAGTGCGTGGGCCCGTAGCTACTCTCATATTTTCCTCTCTCTCTGTCTCCTTATCTCCCCGCCATTGGCAGGACACGCACAGAGGAGGAGGGAAGGAGAGGCCGTGGTGTGTGTGAGCCTCCATGCTGCTTGTATTGGGTTTGATTCATACCCCGCTGCTCCCCTCATCCTTTCCTCTCTAATTGTCCTTATCTCCCTGCAATGGGCAGGAAATGCACAGAGTAGGGAAGGAGGCCGTGGTGTGTGTGAGCCTCCATGCTGCTTGTATTGGGTTTGATTCATACCCTGCTACTCCTCTCATCCTTTCCTCTGTATCTGTCCTTATCTCCCTGCCGTTGGCAGGAAATGCACAGAGGTGGAGGGAGGGAGAGGCTGAGGTGTGCATGGGTCTACATGCTGCTCATATTGGGTTTAATTCAACCATGCTATTGCTCTCATCCTTTCCCACTTATGTGCTTATCTCCCTGCCTTGGCAGGAAATGCATGAAAGCAGATGGAGGGAGTGGCTGAGGTGTGTGTGGGCCTCCATGCTGCATCTATTGAGATTGGTTTTATCTCATCCTTCCTCTCTCTGTCCCTATCCCCCGTCCACTGTCAGGAAATGCGCAGAGGATGAAGGAGAGATAGGCTGAGGTTTGCGTGGGCCTCAGAGCTGCTCACGCAGCCTTCTCTATCCTTATCTCCCTGCCATGGGCAGGAAATGCAGAGGAGGGAGGGGGAGGCAAAGGTGTGCGTGGGCCTCTATATTGCTCCTCTGTGCATTGCCCTTGTCTCCCTGACGTTGCTCGAGATTGAACAGATCAGTGAAGAGCTTTGAAGATGTGTACGTGGCTTTATTTTGCTCTTGATGGTGTAAACTCTACCCTCCTGCTCTCACCCTAAACCCTCTCTGTGCTCCTTTACCCACTCTACAGAAGAGATGGGAGGTTTACGTATCCATGTGGATACAGAAGACACGCAGTTGCCATTCTCCAGCAAAGCCTTTGCAGTGGGGATAAGACATGTATTCACACGGACCAATGTGACACTGGGGGTGTTCAAGACCCGTCAGATCGCGTATGCTGTTCTCGTGGTAAGAACAAGTAGACAGATAATGCGCAAGCATATTTATCGGCATCTAGTGGAGCTTAATTAAAATACTCGTTGTTCCCTTGCAGCTGGAATGTCCTCTATTGGAGGAAGAGGGCAGGATGACAAACAATCCTGAAGTCAACCGGGAAAAGTATGAGAGTACTGTGGTTAAGTGCAGGAAATGGGTGGAGCTAGCTGTCACCACCATGGGCGTGCGCTATGATTCACACAAGAACGCATTCCTGTTTGGCAATGGTGTTTGTATCGACGCGAGCGACTACCCGGCATCGCTGAAGAAAAACGTCACTGGGTAGAAAGTTTGCCTGAATGTTGGTAGTTTAGTGCGTAGTAATTTGGGATTAATAGTAGTTATTGTAGGTTCTCAATACGGTAAGATTCTGTAGTGGATTTAAAAATGCTATTTATTGTATTGAATGCTTATAACGAATATATAAATTAGCCATAAATAAGTATAAATAGTAGTTGTGATAATTGAAGTGCTACCGTCTATCATGTAGCGAATAGTAAACGGGACATGTGAAATAATTGTTTTTTAGGTCCCGCGGATTCGGGCGAGCTGCGACGGAAATCTGACGGAAAACTCAAGGAATGCTCGAGCGAAATCTGCTGGTAAGCATCTGTCTGAAATCTGACTAGAAATCAGTTGGAAACATCATCAATCCAGTAGTGTGATTTCTGACGGAAGAACTTCATAGTTTTCTGTCAGATTTCCGAGGGTCAAACAGAATTCCAGCCGAACGCGTCCAGTTTTCCGACTCTGCTTTTTGTGATGAAAGGTAAATCTGGTGGCGTATATTTGGTCAGTGTTGTGTTGCTGGACTACCTGAGGGAGAAGTCGTTGCTGGATGCTTCAGTTTCATGGATTGCGTGGGAGATTAGGGCGTGTCCAGTTCGTTCATTTCGGGATTTTTCGTACCAACGCACGTATCGAGGTTCAAAAATGACTACCGTACCTAGAAACGAATGCATTGTGAGTGGAGTCCAACCATCATGTAATTTCAGAAGCGAGGACACATTCCCCGCCACACGAATCAACAGTGCTCTGACAACGTTGAAAACGAGGTAACAGTTTCCCTCGTCAATCATAGCTTGAAAAATTTTGTGCAGGCGCAGGGGGCGCTGGCGAGTAGAGCGAACCACTGACGAAATCGTGCAAGCGATACAAGGGAAACGAACTGTAGTGGCCAGGACGCGGTGCTGTACCCTTGTTCGCGTCCCTGCTGATTCTAGTAATGTGAGTCAGACGACTCTAGGTACGTGCATGGGGTGTGCCGTCTTGCGAACAGAAGTTGATTGTGTCTGCTGGACACGTTCAATAAAGGGTTACCACAAAAAAATTGGTAACTGAGGGGGTTTACGAACAGTAAATGTACGAGCTGGACCCCCCCTTATGGGTGGAAGAGGGACGCGAGATGCTGTGCTTGCGCTGGAGCGAAATACGAAATCGGACCGCACAATGTCACCGTGAATAACTTATAATTGCGATGCGACGCGGTCCCGGTGCGCAACACCAAAAATCCATACAGTATTACATTCAGTCCAGTCGAGTCGTTCAAACGAGTTTGTTCTGTTCACGAAACGCGAATGGTTTGCTTGGGTGAGATTTTTGTGTTGCAAATTCGTACGCACATCCGCATGTCTGCATCTACCGTACACATATTTGTTGGTTTCACGAAATCCATCGCTCAAGCGGACCGAGTTCTCACTTCTCCGTACATTGTGCTTGCAGTATACCCACTCATAATGCAACTCGTGACACATAAGAAGTGAGGCGTTTTTTTACTCTGCACGCTGTATTTGTGTGCTATATCCAGTTTTAC